TTTCTTTGTTACATTACGCCTAACAGCAATGTACTTAATTTGAACACCTTTACCGTTCGAACTTCTAAATAATAGCCAGAACCTGTTTTTTGATTTAATACAAAGTTTTAATTCTTTAGTCATCACACCTTTCCTTTTTATTTGTTTTAGATTTTTATATAGTATATTTTCTCGACATAATATATTTTAATGTTTAATATAATAATCAAATCTGTATTAATATTCATATTAGCAAATATAAATTCCCAATCTAAATTATTGAAATAATTTTTTTATTTTAGCATAATTTCCAGCTTTATATAGTAATGTATGTATGTATGTATGTATGTATGTATGTATGTATGTATGTATGTATGTATGTATGTATGTATGTATGTATGTATGTATGTATGTATGTATGTATGTATGTATGTATGTATGTATGTATGTATGTATGTATGTATGTATGTATGTATGTATGTATGTATGTATGTATGTATGTATGTATGTATATATGTATGTATGTATGTATGTATGTATGTATGTATGTATGTATGTATGTATGTATGTATGTATGTATATGTATATTTATTCAGTAATCAATAATTATTTACAATTTTATTAAAATCGCACAATAAAAACAGTTCGTGGTACGAATTTATCTAAACTGCATATTCTAATTATTGACGGAGAGAGGCTGACAAAAAACCCTCTTTTCTGAAAGTATTTCCAATTATAGCTGCGCCAGCCAAATTGCATGAATAAATTGTACTATCGAAGTCTACATTTAAAATTTGGGTGATTGTGCGTTTACTGTAGTAGTTGTTAAGGAGTTCCAGTTTTTAACTACTCGGTTAGTGAAAAAAGTACGTCTTTCTTCATGTTTCAATGTTTTTTCAGCGGCTAGTTCTTAAAATGTATTTAGATCCTCGATAGGCTGGTGTAGTTTGTGGCGCCACAAAATTGATTGAATCAATTCTATTAACTATTTTGTACTGCTGTATAAGATCAATACGCATGCGGCGAGTTTCAAGAGTAGTTAGATTAACCCGTGTTAAACGTTCCTCGTATTTTAGATTACTTATTGACCTGATCCATTTCGTTGCTCGATGCTGAAATTGAACATCTCTGTTTTAAGTTTTAAGTAAATGTCAGTACTTCTCTCAGTGGCAAAACTGCGGGGGGGGGGCGCTGGTTAACAGACAAAAAGTGTCCTGATTTTAAACTAATTTTAGATTGCATGGGCGATATGGGGCTGATTTTGAAAATCGTGTTATTTGTTTATAACAAGTCACTTGTTATAAAGAAAAAACTATATCTTAAAACAAAAATTCAGTGAAAATTGGCCTTAAAATTAAAAAAAATATACATTGGTAACTGATAAATATTAAAACTTTCATTGTAAATCCTCCCGCTTTTTTTTATTATTTCCTCCTCCCATTTTATACATCCTGACTAAAATTCTCACCCCCACCTACCTTTGTATTAAGCACATTAGAGTAGTCAGTAACAAAATCCCCCCCCCCCTCCGCACGATTTTTAAATTGAGCCCCTTATCTCCCATGCAACCTAAAATTAGTTTAAAATCAGGACACTTTTTGTCTGCTCACCCCCCCCCCCCCCCACCGCAGTTTCGCCACTGAGAGTAGTACTGACATTTACTTAAAACTAAAAACAGAGGTGTTCAATTTAATAAATTTTAGTTATAAAGAAGTATATTTAGAAATATATATTTTTGTCTTTACTTTTATTATGATTTAATTGATTAAATAATAAAACAAAATTTAAGTTTTTAGCCTCCCCCTCCCTCCCCTTTTAATATAGATTTCTCCTAAGAAGTAAATTACCAGTGTTTTCATTGGTTGATTTTAAAGTGAACGCGCGTTTTTTCCGGACCGTTTGTAAGATGTTTAGAAATGCTAAACTGTTTATAAAAATATGTATTCGTAAAAGTTGCTGAGGTTTTTAACATTGTTTAAATATCCATTGTATTTTTTCTAGATGCATTACTACTTTAATTAAAGTTAGGAATTACTTAACTAAATCATTTTTATTTATAATATCTTGATTATGTGTTGTTTGATCAAATAATAAGCTATAAATGTAACATAAAAGAGTGTTATAAAAGTAACAACACTGTAGTATTATTACTTTTGTAGTCATAAATTTATTGTTTTGTTTTTCATAACATTTTCACTAACAAATTAAAGTTTATTCGCCTATTCCGTAAATTTCGTGGTTTTCCATAAACTTAAACTTTGAAGACCAGATAATTTAACAGATATCGCAAATCGCGATGCGTTAATTCAACCCTTGAGAGCCTTCATGCTTGAACAATTCAAAATGATTTATCGTGCACCTCATATTTGGAATAAGTTTTTACTAATTATTTTAAATAATATTGATTTAAAAAACTTAAATTGTTTTAAAAAAACTAATAAAAAGTATAAAAATTTTGTTAGTGATTTTTTCTAAATTTATTTTCTACAAACTTCATAAATAATTTCTTTTTTATTATAAATATATTTTCAACATTGCATTAGTAATAAATGTGTAAATATTATTATTTAAAAAAAAAAAAAAAAAACATTTTTGTAAAAATATATTTGTTATCTGACATTTAAATACCATTATAATGTAGTGATTTTATGTAAAAATTTTAAGAACATGTTTTTATATTTACGGCAATGTAAAGCGGTTCTTGATGATAAGACCATCGTTTAAAGATTGTTTAAGTAATTGTAAAACATCTGAAGGAAAGGTTTCATGATTTGTTCGGTGTGATTATGATTTACGCAGTGATGAAATTACAGGATCTCTGGAAAACAGGAGTCTATTGATAAGATCAGGATTTGTTGCTTTTTTGGATGGTTTTTGGCTGAATTTTTCGCGATAAGATTTGAAGTCTTTATTTCTAGCCTCTTAAGCTTCCTCTGACATAAATCCGATGGGTAATGTAAGGTTTTTAATGTCATGTCCATGTATCAATACTTTGTGAACTGATTGAGCCATGTAATATCATGAATAAAGGGACACATGTAATCTAACAGTGTCAAAATAATAATTCTTCAATTTTAAGCTGTCTATTTCATATCCTATAGAGAGTGTAAAATCTGAATATAAGGTTTTGATCAATACCCAGATTTTCAACTGTTTGTTCCTATGCTGCAAAAGCACGCCTTGGGTTATTGCTATTATTGCTTGTTCAAGAGCCACCGCTTTTAGGGAAATCAACAACAAGTCCCATTTTGTTCATAAAATCAGTCTGAATCTTTTTTTTAGCTAGAGATGTCTTTTCTTTGTAATCTTTAGATCTTGCTTGCCACTTTCTTGTTTCTTTTTTATATACAATGCGCAAATCTCAAAAATTCAAATCCATGCATGAAGACTGGAAAGACTAAATTTAAGCTCTCTGTTAGTATAATCTATATAAAGGATATCAAGGCTATTCATATTTTTTAGAGACATCCAGAGCCGTCTCGAGGAGGGGGTGTATACACCCCTACGAACTTTATTAGTCAGCAAATTGGACACTGGAGTCGGCAAAACTGGATTTATAGTTGGTTGTCAGCAAATGTCGGAAAACGAGGACTTTTTTTTTTAGATAAGTTAGTGGGCAAAAATTTTTTGTTGGCTTTAGTCGGTAAAAAACAGATACGTCACCCCCCTCCCTTTAAAATCTCTTTGAGACGGCCCTTGAGACACCACATCAGTCATTGCAAGTTCAATAATACAATTTACTTCAATAGAAGAAAACCTCTAATAAAATCATACCCAAGCTTTCTATCTCACTTTTAATGTACTGATCTTCTTCGATCACAAATTCCTTGGATTCCGTTTTGTATGCAAATCTTATGGGTCTACAATAGGCTGTGGATGACGACTTTTGATTTCTCCAAATAGGCACCTTTTCGTTGCTGCTATTAAATCCAGTCAAGTCCAATGGGACTAGACAAGTAATTAACAATGATTCTTCACACTTTAAATCTTCTGATAAAACTTGCTTATAAATGCTTTGGCCAGTAGCACCATCAAAACCAGCCTTACACGTGAGTGTCATTATTTTTATTGCTTTTGTCGTTCATTATTAAGTGCCTCAGCACAGGTTCCTAAACTGCACAGATTCTTTGCAAAGTATGAATCTTTTAATCTTTCAAAGGAACTGAAGCCGAATAGTCCTCCACTGTTATATTTGCAGGATAACATTTCAATTTTGCATCTCTGACGTCATTGTAAGCGGGGTAAATCTTATATTGTTTCTCCAAGGCTCCGCTTCTAATCAATTGATAGGAAGCTTTTGTCAGACTGACATCAATTTTTAAAGTCAGCGCTTCGTCTGCTGAATATTTAGTTGCTTTATCTGTATTTGAAATATTTAAAACGTTTTTTAAACGCAAGTAAAATACTGTTAAAACAATGTTAATGTAAAAATGAGTTGTTACTATTCAAAATTTAGTACCATAGCAACCAAGTTAAAACATAAAATCTGAACGGGGATTTAAGGGGACGAGCAATCAATTAAAACTTAATTGAAGCACCATATAGCTTAAATAAATAAGACAGCGCATGGCAAATTGTAATAATTATTAGTTATAGTGTAGCAAAAAATAAATTTCTTAGAGATTTTTTTTTTTAAATCTGTGCTTTTCAAAGTTTAACTGAGTTAACATGCTATGACATTTATTTCACACATTTTTCTTATCTCTAAATACTCTAGAATAACATGTACTAATTATTTGTTTTAAGAACGTAGATGTAATTGATATAAAAAACAGCGTTGATGCCACTGTAAATTACTTATTTATAATTTTTTTTTTTTAATTTCATTACTCAAATGCTTAGAGTCCTGGTAACTAGGATATTTAATATAAATAAATTATCAATAAATTTCTCCTAATATATGAATACTAAAATTAAATAAGTTTTCAAGATTAGACAACTAAAATTTTTCTCATTTTGTCCACCTACTGTGCATAAGCTAAAATTTTACAAATCAAAAAATGAACTTTATTTTTTAAATTATACTTTGTGTATTAAAAACTGAATATTACATATTTTGTTTTATATTAACTATAATATTTAAACTGTCAAAAATAATGTGATCAAAAAATAATAATGATAAAATAAATTTTCTTAAATTACAATAATAATAATAATAATATAAGATAATAATACCAATAGTATTTAAATTCATAATAAAATTCATTATTAAAAATTTTAATAACACTTTTAATAACAACTTCAATAACAATCATATATAAAACAAATACAAAATACATATAAAAAAAAATTTAATTATTTTTAAAATGTTGCAGCACTTAACTCATAAGATTAATAATATCGTTATATATCATTTTGTTGGCATTTATACCCCAAACAAAATCCAGATGGTTCCAGGCATCAATGTTTTTCTTAAATACTATATTGGGAAGAAAAGGTATCAGATGATTGTTTATGTCGGTTGGATCAGCTAACCAATCATTGGAGCCCGTAAACAAAGCCACAGGAACTTTAACTTTATCAACATAGTATAATGGTGCAGTTTTCTGTAATAAATAAGAAAAGATATAAGAATAAGAATAAAAAAAGTATTTATTACATTAAAAAAAAAAAGATTTATGCAAAACTTAATAAAATGTCTTTTAACGTTTCAATGTTTATTAGTATCTAGGAACAACAGTTAAAAAAATTTGTTTTGGGTGAAATTAAATTTACCTTACTCAAAAATAAAAAATAAACAGAATAATTTTTGATATAAAAATATCAATTTTTCGAAAACCCCTCATACATAGAGGCGCGATAAACGTTACATTGTCAAAACTATTGAACGTAACAAAATTTTGATTGAAACTTTAAACATCTTAATTCAAGGTCTAATTAAATTTCAGTATGACATCACTGACGTCATGCTAAATTTATACAACAATTAAATGTTTAGGTTTAGGTGGTTTAGGCGGGAAGTACCCTAGGTATGAAGAAGATTATTTGCAGCAAAAGAAAATTAATAACAATTTTTGTCCATTATTATTATCTGAAAAAATTGTCGGAATTAAGGTTTATTGACTAATCCTAACGCAAAAATTTATTCATTAAAACTAAATTAGAAGTCACATACAGTATTGGACAAAATATTTGCAAACAACATCAAACAATGCTAAAAGGTGTTCCTAATTTTACATGTCTTAAAAACGAAACGAACTATACTACCACAGCAAACAGTTTAGGAGTCTGGAATCATAGCATGCCATGATATGAGCAATCAGTTGACAGGTGACAGCACACAGGCAGAATTTCGTTGACAAGTGCCATTTTGAAGTGGACAAAACAAGTGCAACTTTTTTGGCTTGTTTCATTTTCTTAAGTCTGGTCCATGTCAACGTCACGGAAGTTTTTTAATAAATAAAAGAAGTATCCAGAAGTTTCCACAAGTTTCCAGAAGCATGCAGAAGCTTCCAGAAGTTTCCAGAAGAAGCATCTGGAAGCATCCAGAAGTATTCAGAAGCATCCAGACGCATCCAGAAGCATCAAAAAGAAGCACCTAGAATCTTCCAGAACAGGTTCAAACAGGTTCATTTTACTATATAAGAGACGTGTAAACTGACATGTAATTCAATCAGTATATAGAAGTCAATCAGTCAGTATTGTCAAGACAGTTTATCGAAGTGAGTTTTATCAAAGTGTTTTATCGAAGAACATTAATACAAGAAGTGAAATACAACAAGTGTTTCATTACATCAATACAGTCCACATCTAACCAAGATGTTGTGTTTCACAGAGCATTATTGTATCATCACAAGGTAAAAGTAACATGGTAAGCCTGTATCGGACTGAATAATCAGACAACGTACTGTTGAAGCCGGATTGTTTACTCGACGCCCTGCAAAGAAACCGCTGATTTCACTAAAGAACCAGAAGAAAAGACTCCTGTTTGCTACATCTCATATTGACTGGAATGTGCAGAAATGACGAACTGTCCTGTTCAGTGATGAATCGAAGTTCAACATCGTTGGGAGCAATGGCATTTGCCATGTACGTCGACCGGCTGGAAAACGCCTCAATTTACGTTACTGCCATAAGACCATGAAGCATGGTGGAGTCAATGTAATGGTCTGGTGGTGTTTTTCTGTTAAGGGTCTAGGTCCAATACATCGAATTGAGGGAATAATGGACCGTTTCATGTATAAAAATATCCTGAAAGATGTTATGTTACCTCATTCTGAATGGAATCTGCCAATAAAATGGGTTTTTCAGAAAGTTGATGAAGGAAATATGCAACTTTTATCTGAAAATGAATCATTCCTTGTTGATTGCGGAGCAACCACATATAGTTAATAGTGATAAATATTTTATTTACCTGGATGAACATTTTAAACCAGATGAACATTATATTGAGTTGGCTGATGGTACAAAAACTAACAATGTGGCTAAAAAACGAGGAACAGTTTCAGTAGAATTAACTACTGAGGATGAAAATGTAGTTCAAGTTAAACTAGAAAATACCTTATTTATACCAAGAACCTGTGGGAGATCGCCAACCGCAGAATCAACCGTGAAGGTGTTCGTAATAAGGATCAACTGTTTGAACAAATCCAAAAGGCCTGAGTTTTGGATTTATTCAAACAAAGTTTCATTAATCACCTGATCAAATCTATGCCTCGAAGATGCAAGGCTGTGATCAACAACAAAGGATTAGCCACGAAATATTGATAGCGAAATACAGCTTGGTTAACATTTTGTGGAGTTGCACTTGTTTTGTCCAGAAGGAAATTAACTTTTTTAAATACTATTGATTAATTTATTAAATTTCGTGAACAAATAATGAACTTTGTGATGAATAAAACTTGAAGAATGTTGTCTCTAAACAGTTACATAGTTATTTCTCTAAATTGAAAAAATGCAGCACTTTTATATAAAGAAACTAAATTAGCATTATTTGGTTGCACTTGTTTTGTCCCATACTGTAAATGCAACCCGTTTAGGTGCAGAAGAGTTAAAGTGCGTATTATATATTAACACTGTGCAAACTTACACAGTACATTCAAGTATACTACAACCGTAACAATGATTTTTTTATACATTATTACTTTTATTTCTATAAGTTTCTAAAAAATTTTTTTCAAAAGTCATTTATATCTTATTTGTAGTAAAGTTTTACAAACTATTAATTTTGTGGAGAAAAGACTTTATTAGTGTTTAGTTTTAAAGACCAACCATGTTTGGTTCATTTATTTATTAATATATTTTTAATATACTTTATGATAATAAATTTCTATGCATTATTTTTTATTTTAAATAGATGAAATTGAAACTTGTACAAATTTTTAAAATGGTTGTTAATATAAACACCTGATGGTAGCGCTTCATGTTTTCTGATTCTCCATAATCAAACATTTGAAATTGTCCACTTTTTATCATCTAAAGTTAAATGCTTACATATTAGACTCAAAAAACAAAAACAATATAGAGTAATAATTCCAATCATATTAGTAATTTAATTTATTTTACTAAAAAAATTAATTACAAAGTTATACTTAACAAAAAACAGATAAATCTTAAAAATTAGATTTTGAGAAAAAAAAATCTTTTAACAATTATCTAATTTAAATTCTTCTCGCTTACCCAACTTATATGACAATTATAAACTAAATGTTAAAAGATAAAATACTTTAAAATCTTAAATTTTCTCTCATTCGGTTTGGTAAGAAACAACATTGAATAGACAAAGAAAGTAACAAACCACTCAAAAAGCTTCAGAAATGAGATTTGCAAATGTAAATTACTACCTTAAAATTGCCAACAAATTTTTCATCATGTTTATACTGCTCTTGATAATGACGTTAAAGTCCAATACATCTTAATGAAAGTGTTTACTCCCCAACTTCACATTTCAGGACAAACTTTTCTATGATCTGTGATGATAGCTCTAACCTTAGCTTTGGAAAAAGGTTTAAAGAAACTTAAAAGACGCTGACTACTTCTCAAGAGCAGTGACAAAGTGGGTTACCTTGATGACAGTGGTGGCTCAAGCCTTTTCTGATTTTCTATAGGAGGCTTTCACTTTACATTGCTCTTGTCCACAAAGAATTTGGTTCACTGTTGCCAGTAGTCCTTTTCAAGATCCATAAGTGAGCCATCAGAAGAGACAGGTAGTTGTTTATGTTGTGAAGCAACATGGCTTTGAGGATGGACAGTCTATAGTCACTATTGTCTATATTCTATAGTTTATATTCTATACTCTGGCTACCTGATACCAATAGCCTAGAAAAGACTTCTCCATTTATCTTTCTAACTGAAGAACTTAAAAATATTAGTGACACTTTCTCTGAAATGTGACTTTCACACTTCTATCTAACAAATTCCACTGTTTGAGCCTGGATATTAGAAGCTCAGCATTGAACTTGGTAAAACTACGCCTCTGATTAAAATGTAGAAGTGTTTCTTGTTAGTAAAGAATGATCAATTTTTCTTAACCACACCTGCTAAACTTTATTTGTATCTCCAATATCTTCATCACTGTTTGACTTTCTGTTTTCTCCTGAAGATGTTTGGTCCCTCTTAGGGAAACACACATCTTCAGGGAACAGATAGTTTGGGGTTAGGAAAACAATTTTCATTCCAAGGACAAAACAAAAATAAAAATTTGTTACAGAGTAATTTATTAACTAAATAGCATATTAAAAAAAAATTGAGTTATGACTAAAGACATTCGTAATTAGAAAAATTTGCAGAGAGTTTGAACAGGAGGAAACTATTGTTATTGAGGTATATATGTATATATACCTCAAAACACACAAAACTTGTGTGTTTTGAGGTGTATATATATATATATATATATATATATATATATATATATATATATATATATATATATATATATATATATATATATATATATATATATACAAAATAAATAATATCACACACACACACACACACACACACATATATTGCTTCTTTTAAAAAATTTTAATACAAATTTATATATAAAACTTATTAACATCATAGTCAATAAATGTCTTCATAAATTTTGTAACTGTTTGTAATAATATAAACTAATATTCATGTTTAAATACCTGAGCAAAATGAATTATATCTTTAGACGATGTTCCAGCTGGAAGATGTGATAAATAAACAGGAAGTCTTGTTTCGTTTAAATTGGAAACATCATAACCAGCGATAAGAAAAGCTATATTACTACACACTTTTTCAGTAGGGTACAACAAACCACAAACATCTTGAGCAATAAAACGTAAAATAGCAGAGGGAGGAAGGAAGTCATAAATACCAAATATTTTAATAAGCAACTAAACATTTAAATGAATATTAGTCTTCTTATATATTTTTTTATATTTCATACATAATTTTAAAAATTACAGGCAACCCAATTTTGAGAAGAGGGACTAAAAAAATTCTTGCGATTTCACAACTTTATATGACCACGCAAATAATATTTTGTTTTGATGATTTGACCACAGTTTTAATGTTTTAATAAAGCACTATAGTTTTGACTTTTTAATAAGGGGTTGTCAATAAAGTACGTATGCCAAAAATTCTGAAATTTGACACCCCCTCCCCCTGTTGCTATGCGTACTTTAAAGTCCCCACCCCTTTAAAAAGTACATATGTTTTTCATATATCTTCCCCCTCCCAAATTTTTTTTTTTCAATTAAAAAATTTATTGAAAAAAAAAAAGGTGGAGAAGGTACCCTAGATACTTTAAAAGTATCTAGGGTACTTCCTCCACCTTTTACGAAAGACGTATAAAGTATTTATACGCCGACAAAGGATCCAATTATTAAAAAATCATCAAATGTATATACAAATATTAGTTTAAATAAAGTTTAATCATACCGCATTGTAAAGTTTGCTTAGCCAAGTGGTTAATGTTGTGGGCAGTGACATTGTACAAACTTCAAACTTAAGTATGTTTATACCTATGCCAAATGAGGAGACTTTATAAAAATTGGGATGGCGGAGACCTGTGAACAAATAGCTCTGAAACGCTTGCCCCCCTGCTCAAACTTGAGGGCACTTATGTAGTAAAATTTTTAACTTAACGATTTAAAACTAAATTCTAATTTATCGACGGAATTTCGTTGAAAAATATTACAAATTACAAAAGTTATGTTGATGCAAAATGTAAAGCCCCTCAATTATTTATTTATTGGGGGTAGGGGGTCGGAAAACTTTACTACATTAGTGCCCTCACCTTTGGGTAGGGGAGGGGATGCAAGCATTTGAGGGCTTTTGTTCCCAGGCTATTGCCATAACAATTTTTTGCAAGGCCTCTTCAAATGGCATAGGTATAAACATACTTAAGTTTGGAGTTTGCACAATGAGTGGAAGTTGTTTATCTGGAACGTCAAAAAATCCTGTGGGCGCCCATGCATGTGTGTGCATAGAGAGAAACTATACCTTCTACTCCCTATAAAATACATCTTTTTATGATGGCAAACTAGGATCTTTAGTCAGAATTTTAACTTTCCTATTGACTAGTTGGTTAGTTGTGTAAAGTTAGAAAATCGAAGTATGTACTTTTAAGTTGAGCCCCCCCCCCCCCCATACGCTTTGTACACTTTTTGAAGACCTCCCCCCTCCCCTTTATGAGCATACGTACTTTATGGACGAACCCTAAGCGCTTTTAAATAAAGAAAAAAAAAATTTATTAAAAAAACAAAGAAAAAAAAAAAAGTAGTTTAGTAATAAATAACTAAAACAAAAATAAAAATAAAAAAAAAAAAACTTAACTAAAATAAATTATAAACAATAAGTAGGCACTTCAACATCTGATAATTTGGTTAAAGCACAAAATAAGATTGTAGATAGACTGAATCGAAAAATTATAAATTACAAGACATTATCAAAAACCAATCACTTGAAAGCAAAAACAAAGATGTTATAATAGAAAGTTTGTATGCTGAGAAAGATAAAACTACAAAAAAAATCAAGACTAATATTGTAACAAAGTGCAATAAAAAACAATATAACTAACATGAGAGCTGTTATATACAGGTGTCTTGAAAGTAATGTTTCTGTTGACAGTGTTTCTAAAGTAATACAATCGTGTATATCACTTCTCACAAAATATTCTATAATTGATATACCAAAACCGTCAACAATTTGGTCGTGAATTGGGGATATTAGCTACTCTACAAGCTGCAGAAACTATTTTACACAGTGAAGGTTTTACACTGGCATTTGACGCAACGAGCTTAAATGGTGTTTATTTTAATGAGATTCACATTGCAACTGTGGAGACAATTTTAACAGTCAGTGTAGTAGAGATTCCTGGTGGCTGTGCTGATGATTATGTCCAGCATATTCTTGAATCATTTAATGATGTTACAACAACATATGCGACTTTAAACTGTATTGATTCTACAGAAATTAAAAAAAAAAAATTCAGCTTTTTCTTATGCACTTTAACAGACAGAGTTTCTGCCAACCACTTAACAGTGATTAAACTTAACTCTATTTTTAAAAAATATTTGCTTGAGCTGCACTGTCATCTCCATCCACTTGAAGGAATTGCTAATGTAGCTCGTAATGTTCTTAAAAAGTTTAACTTATCTATTCCAAGTATCACATTTGGCTCTGACTGTCGAGCTGCAAATCTATTATACAGTATTTCAAAATTAATGTAAAAAATTATAGCACCTATAATTATGACACTTGTATATAATTATTTATTATTTGTATTTACTATTATCATGAGTCATCTTTTAGACTTTTTTTCTTAAAAAATCGCATTCTGTTTTAGGTATAAACAAAAAGGTGATCCATCAGGTTTCAAAACTTTTCTTAAGGACCATGGATTGTCATGTGGTATTTTTCCTCGGTACATTGGCAATAGATTACATATTATTTTTTATTTAGCTGGTGTAGTTTATGAATACAAGAATTTATTGATAGAGTATTTAGAAGTCTTGTAACAATCAAACATCTCTTAGAGTATCTATTTTAAATGACTTAAAAAATCGATAAATTCTTATTGACTTGCAAGCGCTTGGTCTTTGGGGAAAGGTTCTGACTGGCCCATAGATGGTAATTTTTTACTCAAAAGATACAAAAAGAAATCATTTTGATATGGTAAAATTATTATTTGTTTTTAAAGGATATCAGGGTTATTAAATTAATATTATTTAAAAGGATTTAAATTATAATATTCAATATTTTTTTAGTAAATAAAACAACTGTTTTTAATTTTTTAAAGGTTGCCTATCTTAAAAAAGCAACTGATTTCATAAAACTTGTTGATATCAATCCAAAACTTCTTTTCATAACTTTAACTGATGCATTTGGTCGTCCCTTATTGGAAGATGACACTCTAAAATCACTTCGAATTACTGAAGATGTCTCAATAGAAAACCTTTTTTCTATAGTAACTCTTCTAGGTAAGTCGTTCTTATCAGTTATGCGCCACCAATTGTCACGTTATTTTATTAGACCTCTAGCAAATCCAACTGCTGAAATAAAATAACAGGCTGGAAGTGCCTCACTACACAATATATGGACAGAGAGGACCCTTGGGAAAGTTGATTCACTAATTAAAAGAGCGCCTAATGCAGACATAATATTTATTGATAGTGTTACAAAAGCTAAAGCTAATTACTCTGTGGATTGGTTTTTAAAAAAAGATAGTCATATGAGAGAAAAAATAGTTATATTTTGCATTAAGCAAGGAGCAAAATATAAACAAATTGGAAAAGAAAGGAGATTAAGAAATGAAAAAATCATGATTGAGCTCAAAAGAGAGATATGAAAGTAAGAAACAAACTTTCTAAAGCTATTAAAGTTGGTTTAAGCAATGGTTTAACAGCTGATAGTGAACTGTTTAATACTTTAACTGGTTTTCAAAGGGAAAAACTTGAAAAACTACTTGACAATAATTTAACACAATTGGAAAACTCTTATTTATATCACGATCACGTTTGGAATGTTAAGAATAGTAATGTTTTGTTCATGGGAAAAATTATAAAAGTTAAGAATATTAAATCTGGTAAAAAACATTAATTGTTGCATATTGGAAAAACAACAAAAAAGAAGAGGATGCAGAAGATTATAAAGTAAATTTAGATGTTGTTTTGACTGATATGATTTATGGAGATTTGATATTTTGTGAAAGTTGATAAATATTTTTGTTATTTATTTTTAAGTATATTTTGTATAATTGTATACCTATTTTTATGTATATTTTATTTATGTGTTTTGTTATTTATTTTTAATTTTAGACACTAACACTACTAAAGGTGTTACATAACAAATATTTCATAGCTGGAACTATGAATTTTTTATAAAATTTTTTTAATATTATTAAATAAAAATAGGTTTGAAATCCAGAAAAAAATGATAAATTTATTTTGTTGTAAGACTTTTTTTGCATTACTATTAAAGAAAATATTTTCAAAAAAGTTTTGTTACAGATTTATAATGTAAAATTTGAGTCTTGTCCTAGCCATGTGCTTAAGATATAGAGGAAAGGAGAATAAAAAAAGAGGGTGAAAATTTAAAGTCCAGATCTAATAAACGACATGGTGGGAGGGTCTTAATAAAAGAGTAGGTGAGAATTTCTTGCAGAACACAAATAAACAAACTAATTCTAGTATGGCTGGTGGCCAAATAAGCATTTTTTAACAGCTGTTTTAATATCATTAATAAACGAAAACTTAAGTTTTGACAAACCGAAATATACAAGGTTTTTTAAAGGTCGACAATTTTTAAAGCCTAATTACACTTAAAGTTTTTATTCCTATCAGTGATTGTCTATCAGTATCAGTGATATTTTGTCTGAATTTTTTATTTATTTTAGTTTTAAGATTTTTAATTTTTTTTTGTGGATAACAAATAAAAAAAAAATAAAACAGGGGTAGGGGGTAGGTGGTGGTATCATAACAAGCATGGGAAAAATTTTCCAAAAATTAATAAACATATCCTCCCGTGTATTAAGAAATTAAGAGAACAATTACTATAGTTTTTTGTCTTTTTTTTTAAATAAATAAATAAAAAAGGTCTTCTTACGGAGTTTTAAATAATTACGGTCTAGTTTTTAGTTTATTTCGTAAAAAAACGGACGTGATGGAAACGTTAATGCGATTCTCAAAAACGTTAGTTGCTGAAAACGTGAAAAGTCATTGACAAAAAAATCATCAATTTTTTAGTTTAAAAGTTGCATAACTTTTCAACTAACAATACTATAACGATAAGTTTGGTATTTTTTGAACGTTTATCTTTAGCTCTAACTTATGGTATTTTTTTTGTTTTCATTTTACATTTAAAAAAAAAATGTTGAAGTACCTACAAT